ATATTTCTTTAACGTTAGATGATATCTAATGTGCTCAGTCAGCAGAATTGTATTGGAAATAACTATTGAAGTGTTAGATAAAGGTTGTTCTAGTGTGTTTCCACACATCCTGTTGCATTCTTAATGATATAAAGTAAGCTTAACATCCAACTGTGCAGACCCCAAACCTGCAGATCTGACTCCCTAAGAGACCAAAGAAATGTTAGGTTGATCTAATGTTTCTGCATCTATCAAAAATGTAATTGTCAGTTTGATGTAGACTAATCCCTTAGGAAATTTTGAGATTTCTGCAATTGAACAACACACAAAGTGACGGCCTACTAAAGTGTTTTTATTTATGTTTTATTTATTTTTTTGAAAGGGAACTATAATGGTTTTTGAAAATGTTTATTTTTACTTTATAAATATTTATCAAGTTCTGGTTTCAGCTCATTTCATTTTGAATGTATGTAACCTTTGTGTTACAAGTAAACATTTTCTACATGACAGCCCAAAATACTGGGCAGCAAAAAAGGTTGAACTTGAGAAACATGTTTTCTGACTTAGGACCGCCTCTGTGAAAGGGGCCCATCGGATGTCTATGGGCAGCCGTGTGTAAATAGATGGGTGTCAGTTTGCACCCAACTCCGGCCAGGTCCGAAAAAACAAATGGGGGAGTGTTCGGTTTTGACAGACCTGGTCGTGCCGGATCAGTGGTAATCTGATGTCTATGAACATCCGATTCCCCATAAACCGACATGGGGTCCAGTCAGTTCAGTTTTTATTCCTCCATGACAAGATGGAAGAAAAAACTGTACGGACATGGATGTAAAAGGACCGAAATCTGATTCATACAGCTCTGATAAGGAGGGAATCTGTGAATGAATCCCCTGCTGATCAGCCCATGTGAAAGGGGCCTTAAACGTGACACTGTGCATTTAGGAATGAGTCATTGGCGATACGTCATTGAGCTGTGTTTTAAACAATGGTCTGCTTCACCAAAGAAGCAGACAGGGAGAGCCTTTAAAGAGGAACTGAATCAAGCAATTAGAACACTGAGCAGCACAATATGACCACAAAATCTCACTGTAGCAGTCAGCGGCAGCAGTGCCTAAGATCTCACACTGCAGATATACAGCTATGAGGCTGTAGATACAGGAGTGCATAGGCAGCTTTACATAGAGGGAAGTGCAAGTTTTAGTGTAAAGTTTAGGCACAATTAACTTTTCCTAATGTTCTCTATAAAATGGCAAATCTTCACTTTCTGCTGTCAGATCGACTTTGAAACGCATTAAACTATTAATATATATTTATGTTTTAATTGATTAAAGTTTTGCACACGATCAGATTTCTCTTCTGAAATGGTTTCTTTTTGTCACCTCAGTCAAAATCAGCTGAAGAGTCTTCATGTAGATCTGAGCAGTCGTCTGGAGGAGTCTGTGTGTATCATTAATGAAAAAGTACCATTCAATGACACAAGTAAGTGCATGTGCTCTTCAGAAGGTGATAGTGTGTGTGTGTGTGTGTGTGTGTGTGTATATATATATATATATAATATAACACCATGCCTGATGAATAGCACTGTCCAGTTCTGCGAGATTATATATATATGCTATTCATCAGGCATGGTGTCCGATTCCTCGCATCACCTTTCAACATCACGTGGAATGAATGCCAAGAAGAATCGCCGCAGTATTGAAGGCAAAAGGTGGCCCAACGAAGTACTGATGGGGTGGTCATAATAATCTGGCCACTCAGTGTATATCTATCTAACCAACACACTCCCCTACATTATACATTTTAGGCAATTGTGCATTTCCACATCCTTGTGGGAACAGTTTGGGGAAGGCCTCTTACTCCAAGTATGACTGTGCCCCTGTACACAAAGCCAGCTCCATAAATTTTGTGTGGCAATTGTTTCTATGAGAATTAGTATCAAGCTGCCGTGTGCTCTTCTTGCCTGCACCGAGGGATGGGGCTGTGTGATTACAGGACAGGGAATATAAGTGGTGATTTGCTTTGTGAGTTTTGTCGATAAAGACATGGTTTGATGTGCTTGGAGTGGGAGAACTTCAGTGACCTGCCTAGAGCACTGACCTCAACTCTATTGAACACCTTTAAGATGAATTGGAACGGTGAATGCAAACCAGGTCTTCTCACCTAACATCAGTACCTGGTCTCACAAGTGTTGTTTTAGCTGAATAGGCCCAACTTCCCACAGACGCACTCCAAAATCTTTTAGAAAAGCTTTCCCAGAATGAGGAAGGGATGCAACTACATTAAAAGTTATGTTGCCTAAATAAAAGTGGCAACACAATAGTTATGGGGTGCAGTAATGATGTAGGAGTTGGTGGGAGGACCACTGAGCACAGTGGGGGATGATTTTTCCCTCATCAGAGTGGTCCATGATGGTGCGGGCAGTGCAGAGGTAAGCATTTACCTTCTCTGCAGTTAACTGTTGTGTTGGCATTTTATAAAAAGCTGCAGAGCCACTTTATTGCCTATTGGTTTGGGATATTCAACAAACTATATATAATTGTGATGATCAGATGCCCACAAAACTTTTTGCCTTATTGTGACCATCTACTTAGTGGCTCTGCTTTATTCTTTGCAATGATGGTTTGCCCAGGTATGTGCTGTCCTCCCCCTTCCATTCAAATTTGCTATGATTACTTTACAGGGTACAGCTTTGGGGAATGGGGTTATATTTCTGAGCAACTTGGGATTACTTTGTAACAGATATAAGTTTTATCAGTTCAGTGATGAATCCATGGTTACGTTGTACTCCATGAATCTGTCGCATTCATAAGGACCGCTTCAGGTTTTTTCATCTACTTTGCATCTGGTGTTTTTACTGCTGGGTTCGTGGGTTAGTCACATGGGGAAAGAACCTTTTGGACTAATTTTTTTAGACCTTGGTTATTCAGTAACATTTTTCTATTTTTTCCATGATTTTGTAGTGTGGCCTCAATTTAAACAGGGAGTGTTTTTTCAACCTTTGTCCATGGAGAAACCTTGAAAATAATGGTCATGTCTCAACCCCTGCTATAGCTCACAGTACAATTTAACATGTAAATGTAATTTCAAAAGGTGTTTTTAATCTTTTTTTTACAACTACAATTTTCATTGATCTAATACCCGGTGATCCTGCCATGAATATCTATGCTCAGTCACATTTTGTTGTGCAGCAACATTCTCCCAATTGTTCTGTGTGATGAAAACTTTCCCCCCCAATTTGTGACCCGGTCTCATGCGTCTGTGGTAGAGACTACAGCATTTTCTTTTTTTCAGACCACCTGCAGTGAGTAAAGCTCATGTTCTCTGCTGATTGGAGAGCTCTAGATCTGACTCAGCTGGTGGTAGGTTGGATCTCTGAAGAGAGGCTGCTGCTTCCACACAGAGAGTTGTGGTCCTTCTCTACAGCATACTGGCAGGGGACAGGTTTTTCTACTCTGGATATGACTGCTTGCTAAATAAAACAAAATGAAACACTAGAAGCACACAGGTGAACTTTGAGCAGTACTATAGCGCTTATAAATGTGTTGCGTCGGGAGGAAGGGTTAAATTACGCTTATTTATTCAGCTGCCATTTGCATCCTAGTTACCATTTAAAAGTGGTATACAGTGCAGTATTAGTGAACATTTAAAGAACAGTATGCACCAGGGGTAGGCAAACTTGGATCCTCCAGCTGTGGTGAAACTTCAAATCCCATTAGACTTTGCAAGACTCGGACAGCCCCAGAGGTAGAGACCTGATGAGATTTGTAGTTGTACCACAGCTGGCGGGTCGGAGTTTGCCTACCCCTGGTACACACCATTATTGATGAAAGAGCCCACATTTGCCAGGCCATCTTCCTGTCAGGGTCCTATACAGTTATTCCTGAGGGGGAAGACTGCAGTGTAGGATGTATATGGTCTAACTATTTCCTTTTATGTTGATACTTGAATGGTACGTTTTCTCTTTTTTTTTTTCCCCCCACAAACATCTGAAGCGGTTTCCACTATTGGAATCCTAATAGCCTAATGTTTTGAAATGTATCTGAACATTATAAGATCTATGAGGAAAGCCTCCTTTTTTTTTTTTTCTTATTGTTTTTAAAAATATTTTCTAAAAGGAGACCCACCTTTGCTTGAGGCTGTTGACGTTTTTCTTTAAAAGTTTTTAATTCCTCGTTTTCTAGTGGGTCCCGGAAGCAATCTTCCCCCCACCCCCGGTACGGGTGCCACCATCGTTCTAATGGAGGCACCCGTGCGCGCTCGTGGATGCGCACGTCAATAGACACACACAGCCCTGTGGCAGGCCACGCCCTTTCTCTCTTTGATGGCAGAAGGACCCTATGGCTCCTCTGCCATCTGTATCCTCCCCCCGCAACCAGGAAGTTTGTGGAACGGAGGATCGCTTCGGGACCGGCGGCGGGGATGAGCGTAGCTGACAGGTAAGTGTAGGGAGGACTGGGGGAGAAAAAAAGGTAATGGGCCGTTTTTACCATAATGCAGAGAATGCATTAAGGTAAAAAAGGCCCAGTCCATAATATTACTTTTAGCAAATATTATCACGTGAAAAGGTCTGCTGAGTTCACCTGAATTCCGAGTTTAGTATAATACACCTTCCTGGGTTCATCAAGTTTATTACAGAGAGACCTGCAGGACTAATGGCTATTCAGTATTATGTAATCTCCTTCCTGAAAGCTATAGAGGGTGGTGCTGGAACCATGGAACACATGTTCATATGCAGATTTTGAAGGCATCTCAAAAAATGTAGGGGTATTGGCACTTATGAGGATTTAGTAAGTGGGACAGCCAAGTGCACTATAAGATGAAGATTAGAACTACTCAGTAGGTGGAATAAATCATCAGTGTATGTTATGTAATCTTTGCTGGAAAAAATATACCTGTCGTTGCTAACCTCTTTCTGATAATGAGAGTTGCCTGGCAGCCATGTTGCTCTACATCCCTTTATGGTAACAGTTGCAAACCGTGCTTGGATTGGGTGTATTACCTTACAATGATATGGGAATGAATGCTCAATTACATTGTAGTATGAATTTAAAGGTAACCTAAAGTTTATAGATATTTTTATTTATTTATATATCTTTCATATCTATTCTCACTGCTAATAAATACCAATGTTAACCCCTCTTATATACTGAATTAAAAACTTGTTTATCAGTGCTCCGTATTTACCAGGCTGTGAAGTACCTTACTGCATCCTGATTTGTAGATACACCCCCTACATTTGCCACGCAAAAACCAGCAATGCCACCAAGTAGCCAGGAAGCACATTGGCTATGCTGGGCTTAGCAGGCCTTGCAGACTGAGTCATGAATGCACTCCCTGTATCATAAGACTTTTAAAAATAATAAAAAAGATATAAAGCATCATTTTATAGACTTGTGCACTTTTGGGGGAAAAAGTAAAATTGGCTAAAAACCTTTACGGTTTGTTGGAATTGTAGTTTTACTTTCTATGATATCATGTTTATGATCTATGGGGGCTGATATGCCTAGTTTAGTTACACGTTTACTATCTATGGGGGGCTGATATGCCTAGTTTGGTTACACGTTTACTCTCTATGAGGGCTGATATACCTAGTTTGGTTACATGTTTTCTCTCTATGGGGGCTGATATGCCTAGTTTAGTTACATGATTACGATCTATGGGGGCTGATATGCCTAGTTTGGCTACACATTTACGATCTATGGGGGGCTGATATACCTAGTTTGGTTACATGTTTACGATCTATGGGGGCTGATATGCCTAGTTTGCTTGCACGTTTACTATCTATGAGGGCTGATATGCCTAGTTTGGCTACATGTTTACTCTGTATGAGGGCTGACCTGCCTAGTTTGGCTACACATTTATGATTTATGGGGGCTGATGTGCCTAGTTTGGTTACATGTTTACTCCAACCTGTCCGTCTGTCTCCCGCTCTAACTACCTTTAGGCGATCCCTTAAGACTCAAGATCTCTTCAGGGTAGCTTATCCGACCTCAACCCAACCACTGAAATATCACTTTCTCAAACAAATCATCCCCACACAGCTACCTCCTCATGTATCACTTCCCCCTCCCTTTTAGATTGTAAGCCCTCAGGGGGCAGTGCCCTCCTTACCATCTTGTCTTGAATTGTATTGTAATTGTAATGTCTTCCTTGTATTGTAAAGCGCTGCGCAAAATGTTGGCGCTATAGAAATCCTGTAAAATAATAATGTTTACTATCTATGGGGGCTGATGTGTCTAGTTTGGTCACACATGTTCTTTAAGATCAGACAGCACGATGAAGTAAGAATATAAACCATTCATCTACTGCTTGGTTGGAAGCATAGTTTGCTTTGAAAATAAATAAAATGAATTCCTGCTGAATAATTGATGTCTTTGTTTTTCTAGCACATATCGGCATTGTAGAATATGTCTTACTGATGGTATAATGGATTTTATTTTTTGTCGTGCTCGTTGTATGGTTAACCCTCTAACTTGTGGCTGACCCATTGCCTGATAATACATGCACAGCCTGACAATACATGTTTACCCTTCTGAGATGCAGGAGATAGTCGAAGTAGCCAATAAATAATTCAGGAGGCCAAAGAGTTGGCATTTCTCTCTGTCTCGCCATTCATATTTCATGCGTTCTTGTACGAAGCTGCGAAGATGCATTCACTTTTACCTACCCTCTTGTTTGTCAGAGCAGCAGGAATTAAGTGGAGAAGACTCTGCTTTTCTTTTTTTTTTTTTATTAACAAGCATTTCAGATTAGAGGTATATTTTTTGGGGGTCTAAAAATAATAAAGAGCTCAGAAATAAAGAGAGCTGGCCCAAAACTGCACCTCATACATTCTTCAGAGATTGGGGTCTTTGCACTCAAGTTCCCATCTCTGTCCAAATGCCAGAGCAATTATGTGAAAATTTCATATTTTCTTTTTATTATATGCTATGGTGCATCTTATGGAGGTGCAGAGGAGCTCCAATGGTGAGATTCCACCCTGTCACTTAGGCGCTTTTTTTGTTTGTTTCAGGTTACTTCAGGTAGTCTCATTATGGTAATTCATGGTAAAACGTCCGTGTACGTTATCACAACACATGTTCCATTTTGGGGCACCAATTATTTTAAATACCACCACTGCACACCTTAACACACATGGCTTGCGGTGCGCTGCATAAACAAATTGTGCATGTCCAGTTTTTGGGGCATTTATGTATGCTGCCAGCCTTTTAAAAATGAATAGGCCCCTAATGGTCTCTTGTATTTTCTGCAAGTAAGATAAAGTATATGCTGTGGTTGATAAAAATAAAAATCTTTAAATTCTGAAATGTATCTTGTGCAGCATGGACTTTATAATTGGCAATGATGTGTTGGGAGGGGAGGGGAGGCTTTGAGGTCAGATTTGCTAATAGCCGAGTGGTCACTGTGTGGTTCTACTCCTAAATGACAACGGCATAATTTTTTTTTTTTTTTAAGGATACAATGAGAGTTTTGCATAATTTGTTTTGCATGCTCTAAAAGATTTACAAAAAATAAATATAATATTTCCAGCAAACAGAATGGTTTTCTCTTTTGATTCTGCCTACAGATATAAAAAAAAAAAAATGCCTGTACATCAGATTTTTGTTTTTTAAATCTGATGGGAACATGATGAAATGTTTGAATTGTGCAGGTACCTTAAAAGTAGCCACAGGCCTTAGGTCACAGATATACAAATTGTTGTATAATTGTTAGGTTGTATTTAGTGTGTGTGTGTGTATGCATTGTAAGCCCGCAAGTGCAGGGCCCTCATTACCATCTGGTCTTAAACTGTATTGTGATTGTAATGTCTTCCTTATATTGTAAGGGAGACAATATAAGGAAGACTATACAATCACTGCGCAAACTGTTGGCGCTATATTAATCCTGTATAATAATAATATTGTGTATGTATACAGGTGAAACTCGAATAATTAGAATATCGTGCAAAGTTCATTTATTTCACTAATGCAACTTAAAAGGTGAAACTAATATATGAGATAGACTCATTACATGCAAAGCAAGATAATTCAAGCCGTGATTTGTCATAATTGTGATGATTATGGCTTACAGCCCATGAAAACCCCAAGAACCCCAAATCCACAACCTCAAAAAAGTAGATTATTACATGCAATCAATAAAACAAGGATTGTACATAGAACAATATCAGACCTCTGAAAAGTACAAGCATGCATATGTACTCAGTACTTGGTTTGGGCCCCTTTTGCAGCACTTACTGTAATTACTTGTGCACGATATTCTAATTATTCGAGTTTCACCTGTATATGTGTGTGTATATTTATTTATTTATTTTTTATTTTTTTCATTTCTCGATTCTTGCATTTAGTTCAAATAAATTTTACATGATATTGGTGATTTCAAATTAAAATTTCATGATAATCATGCCACAAAAGTTATAATGAAACTCAAATGCATAGAAACAATACTTTTTTATTCCCCTTACCCCAGGAGTATGATGCCCTATGCCATGTAACTCCCGCTTAATAAGAGAAGAATGAGGAGGATAGGAAGGCATTTTATTACCAATATTTCTGCCACTTTCCTTACCATCTTCACCTCTTTTAGCTAACTTAACCCCACCCTCACTGCCCCATAAACTCCCCCTTCTGTCTACTACTTCACCATGTATTGGCCACAATGTTCCTCCAGATGGCCCGCATATATAGTGCTGGATAGACCTAATGTGCCAGATTTTGCATTCTAAACACCTCTGAGCGCATTATGGGTGTCTTTACGATGTATTCCTGTTCCTTGTGTCTGCAATAGATTACTTGATTCTACAACGTGTTTACCCAATTTTTTAAAACTATTTGATATTTCTTAATTGTTTGTATTGTGCACCCAGTGTATGCCTTTGTCACTATTCAACGTGCCACTAACTTTTTGATAACATTGCTTTAAAGCTAGTAGTTTTGAACACCTAATATTACCCATCTTTTTACTGTCTGATGGTTAGTAAGACAAGTGGTGCTCATCCTTGATTGCACCACTAGACCAAGATGATCTCTCCAAATTAGTTAATGACCAAATGGAGCCCATGTGCAGTGAAATACAGTAAACTCCCAGTTACCCGGCACCCATGGGGATTGGTGGATGCCGGAAAACTGTAGTTTCTGGGTGCTTGAGTGTTATTACCAAATCTCAAGCAACAACCTTCCCACCCCATTTTCTACTGGCTAGATTCTGCTATTGGCTATTTCAAATTGCCCTAGTCAATAGCAGGATGGCTATTGCACATGCCCACTGCCCGTTGACATTCACCTGCCAGCTGAGGAATCTAGCCATTGGCCGCATCCAAGATGTAAACAGAGAATTTAGTTTTTTAATTTTCTGGTTGCTTAAATACCGTATAATGGGGAGTTTACTGTACTTGTTCCCTTTTTCTGCAGAAAAAGGCATCTGACTTACATGAACACAGATTTTTTAAGTAGGTTTGACTTCTCTGTGATGAGAAGCTCTACCAAAAGTCTAAAGCCCTACTCCATTTGAAACTTAACTGGTTATCACTAGTGATGTGCGAATGCAATGCACAAGATTGGACGCTGTATGGCCAATGTATGTTTTGCATCTTGTTTGTTTATAAAAGATTAGCCATTGTGTGCACTGCTTATCTTGCTTTTCTTGTGTGTTTCAGTGAAAACTTTGTACCATATCGTATTTTTCTCTACTTTAGGAACTAGTGATTTCAATGCCTTGAATGTACCGTTGCATAACAGAAGACATCAGGTTTGTGTTATTTTTATTTATATTACTGATTAATGTAAAAACCAAAAAACAAGTGAATGAAACTTGTAAATCTTAAAGGAAGACAGGCTAGGTCAACCTTTCCCCCTTCCCTAGAACCCAGAAAATTTACTGAGCTGAGAACAAGGAATGGCCAAAAAGAACGTTAGGATCCCCATCTTCACCTCTGCCTGTGTGCCATGGCAGACTGCTGTCTTTTTAGGTTATGTTCCCACCTATGTGCAGTAGTGTCACCTTTTTGGGAAGTAAAGGCCAAGGTCAGATTTGCTTCAGAACACTAAGCTCTGTCTTTACTCTAGCAAAGGTGATAGTACCACACATAGGTTGGAAAATGCACTGGGCTGAGGTCAAGGAATAACTGCAGTCTGCAATGGCATAAATAGACTATTTGTGTAGCTCTACGCACGTCTAGGGCTAATACTTGCTGTTGTTGATTGGTCCCCCAGTATGTTCTGTGGTACCAGTGTGACACTCGAATGACAATGGGGACTGGGGGAGGGGGGGGGGTACACGGTGGGAGTCCAGGCATCTGACGCACTTGGAATTGTGTTGAATAAGAAATATATTCTTTAAGGAGGTTACCTCTGCTACAGGGTAACAGGTAAGTATTAATCCTTATATTTACAGGGAGGCATTTTTAAAGCTTCAATGATGCAACTTCCACCAGCTGGCTGCGGACATTTTCTCACTGGCTTCTTCCAGGTTTGGAATCTTAGCCCCTCTCAAGCCCCGTTCACATTGAGCGATTTATCGCGCGGTAATTCCCGCGATATCGCGGCAAATTACCGTGCGATATCGCGCTCCAATGCATTTCAATGGGGCAAAGGGTCCTGCTGTCGCGGGCCGTGTGTCGCTACAGCAGGACCCTTTTTGGAGCGGATTTAGCCGCGATTCAAGCTTGCTCAATGCAAGCTTAAACGCGATATCGCGCGGCAAATCTCGCGATGCCACGCAATATGCAAATCGCGCGACAAACGCGCAATTTGCATATCGCACAGTGGGAACGGGGCCTCAGTTGGCGAGGCCAGTATCATGTAACTCCATCATGTGTGAAATGGGAGTCCATTCACCCAAGCACCTGACATGCGTAGCTTAGTGTATGGTGTAAATAGTTTGCGAAGAAGAATGTAAGAATGTCTTTATTGTAGTAGAAGCATAGTAGTATATCTCTTCTGCAATACAAAACCTTCCTGCTTGCAAGTTTTGGATTTTTTTTAATGTAAGTGTTAATAGCGAAGTTGATTGTTAAGGCATCATTATTGTAGGAAGTGCGTTAAGTGTTCAGGTAGTGGGAGAATGAAGGCTTCGGCTTTTATAAGAGATTTTAAAAAGCACTTGCAGAGCTTTTGGCAAGCTCTGTTGAAGTCTTTAAAGCCCACTTGAACTGCAAGTTTAAATCTGCTATGTACACTCCAGGTGCATTAAAACAAAAGGTGTGCAAAGTCTTACAGTTTTGTTTTCAATTGAAAGCTGTCTCAGTTGAGTTGAAAAGTCAGCTGCTGGAGAGAAGGACCCTCACTCTCTGGAAGCATTTGTCTCACTGCACAGTCCATACGGTGCACCGCTTATTCAGAGCCAGCTTACTTGATTGCAGAGCAATAGATCTGACTTGGCAGGGAGCGTGTTGGACCTCTGCAAAGAGATCATTACATTCTCATTTAAGGCTGGATTCACACCTAAGCGTCAGCGTTTTCGTGCGTAAAAACACGCGGTTTTTTTTGCACGTTTATGTGCAGTTTTGCGCGTTTTTACACACGTATACGTGCATATATTACGCATGGTTTTATGAGCAGATTAGGATACATTGGAGTCGATGGATAAAACACGCAAAACTTATTGCAACGCGTGTTTTCAAGCATTTCCTATTGTGTGTATGGGGCCAAAACAAGCTGAGATCTGCCCAAAAAGAATCACATGTACTTTTTCTGGCAACAGGCGTTCTGCTTTTGCGACAAAACGCTTAGGTGTGCACAGGCGCCATGTAAATGAATGGAATTTGTTTGGGTGAAATCCTCAATCCTCCTGCGACAATACGCTCAGTGTGAACCAGGCATAAGAGTCTCAATTGGCAGCATCTCACCATGGCACCCCAGGGGACAGGGTATTCCAAGGCACTGGAATTACATTTTGGATTGGGTTGCACT